ATATATTAGATTAAAGAGTTCAACCATTATATCAATAACATCTTCATCGATGAGTTTTAATAATTCGATGGGCACCTCATCTGGTCCAGTGGCTTTACCCTCTTTTGTGTTTTTGATGGCATAGATGACTTCTTCTCTTAATATTGGTGGTCCAGTATCTTCGGTGATTTCTAATGACAGTTCTTCTCTTTCATCATTAAATAGTTGTTGAATGTAATTGGTCCAGTGACATAATCTCTCCTTATGTTTTCTTCGCTCTTCCATGAGTTCAAGAATTTCTACTGTCATCCAAGGTTTTGTTTTTTCTTTAAGTGGTTTGAGGGTTTCTTTTCCAACTGACACAAGGGCATGTTGAATTTTTCCCCATTTTTGGTCAACAGTTAGAGTTTCTGCACTATCTTCTTTGACTTTCCTTAAGCTCTCGTTTATTTTAAATTTGGTTTCCACATATGTGTTGTCTTGTTTGAGACGTCTTGTATCTATGATTTTCTTGGTGCTAGGGCTGTTGACCTTCTTTAGTTTCACTCTCATCGACAAAACAACCGGGTTGTGGTCGGAGGATATGTCCGCTCCTGGATAAGTTTTAGATGATATTATAGAATTTCTATATCTTCTGTTGACGATAATATAATCTATTTGATTTCTGACTAGTTTGTTTTTATTGTCAGCTGGTGACCTCCATGTATATAGTCTACGTTTAGGAAGTTTGAACAAGGTATTTGTAATTATGAGTTCCTCATTGACACAGAAATCGACAAGCCTATCGCCACGTTCATTCCTTTCCCCGAGTCCATATCGCCCCACGCAATTCTCCACTTCTCCTTGGCCAACTTTAGCGTTCAAATCGCCCATTATAATATAATATATATGGCCCCTGCTAACTGTCAAAGTTCGGAAGTCCCTATTGCAAGTATCTTTAGTTTTTCGTTAGCTATCTTTGATAAGATATAATTAAGTGGATGTTCAGACATATTATTATGTCAGCATTTATTTGTACCGTTCATGATTGCAACAGTTTAGTCAAAATTTATATATCTAAATTGAGTGCGTCATTTTACATTGTAATTATCTATACAGTTTTAATTTTTCCCATTGATATGATTTTTCAAGTTAAGTTTGCACATGCAGATTTCATTATTTATCTGAAGTCCTATACATTGTTATTCAACAATATCTTACTTTTATATGATTTTGTTTTGACAGTGTTTTTGGTTTATTTAAAGGGTGGATATGAGAAAAATAAGTCATTTTAGGAGTGTCATTCCATTATATGTTCTGAAAGTATGAAAAACTGTAAACAGAATTATCAGATTTAACTGGATCAGACTCGGAAGAGGACAACAGAAGAGACTGTTTACAGATGATTACCTTTTTAATATTGAAAAATATGAAGAAACTATTTAGATAAAAATGATTCACTTCCTTCATCTAAAACTAGGTTCATAGTAAGTGTTTTGTTAGGTCCAATGAAGTCATTATAAAATAAGGGCATGAATACAGAAAGGTAATAGAGCCTTCTACACATTACAAGACATACTGAAGTCAAATATGGTGTTGATATCATCGAAGACCCAAATATACAGAACAGTGATTAGACCAGTTGTAATATACAACTCAAAAACCTGGACCATAAAAAAACTTACAACAAACTATTGTTCAGGCGTTTTGAACCCAAAACACTGAGAACAATATACGGCCCAGCAGCTGATAGGACAACCGGAAACTATCAAATTAGAACACATGAAGAACTGGAAACCTTGTATAGCCAACCAAACAAGATAACAGCCCATGGAGTGAGGTGGGCAGAACCTGTGAAGTCAAGACCTGTAGAGTCAATGAACAAGCTCATCAAACAGATATATAGAGAGACAGAGACCCATAGGCAGACCTAGACTTGAGTTAGGAGATCACATCTTTAATGAGTTGCATGCCACGGAAATACACAACTGACCCACCGAAGCAGGAGAGGCAAGTTATACAGGCAGACCCAAGAAGGATTCTGAAGTTACAGAGATAAAGAGATGGAAATAGAGAGGGAGAGAGAAAAGATAGTAAAGTAAATGTTAGTAATGAGATTGCTGATAGCGTAGCTGAAGGCTATACAGATGTTCCCACTAGGCACACTGCTTACTTAGATATAATCTCTGTATAATGGACAAAGTGACAAAGAAGACAACAAAGACAATAATTAAAGTAACTACAAAGAATGCAATACAGGTAAAAAATGACTGATATGTCCAAGGGAAGTAGTGCAAGAAGTAGCGTCAAAGCAGTGAAGAAAAGTCTCAAATACGCTCCTGCAAAAAACAAAGCTTTTTAAGGCAGTACATTGAGGAAAGTGAAAGTCTAAAGTCTAAATAAAGTTAAGACATCCTACAATGTGATAAACAGATGACTCACTGGTCTCAACCAAGCACAATCTGCTACAAATAGACATAGTCAGGTTTGTGAAATCTAGAAGACTGCAACTAGAGGAAAATTTTGCACAAATGAATGAAAGGTCCCTGGAGAAGAGGTACACCAAGAAAACAATGGCTTCAAGATGTTGAGGATGGTAGACAGATCTGAAAACAATTAAAGACAGATTGTGGATAAAAGGCCAAACCACCACGAGTTGATTTACACTAATAACTACATAGATTAAGGAAACTTATATTTTCTTGTAGCATATTAAAGGAATAACTATTTTAATGGGAATAAGCAGAATTGAAGTTTTGAAACATCAATAAACTTATTTTAAAATGCACTTGTGGCATATTCTCATTACAGTTCTACAAGATATGCTAAAATCTATATTCAAGAATTGGTTTGAAATTATTTATAAATATTACTCTCTAAATCACCTCCAAGCCAAGGTTTGGCAAGTGAATTCAAATTTTTTATTTTGAAGGATTTCTCAATTTTATTACAATTATTATTTATTGAAGCTATCCCAGTTTGGTTCCATTCACACTTATTCTAGAACTTTTAAAAAATTTTACATAGACCGACGAGATTATGAGTCAATACTTTTTATAGATGTGATGAAGTTTGCTGCTATATAATCATTGCATTTACATATTTATATTTAACCTGTTTGATTTTGATGATTAAAAAACCCAAAAAATAATACACACATGATATATTATTGTACATTACTGCAAAACAAGGTGAAATTCATTTTTACTTATACTGCTCATGAAAATATTCTTTTTTTTTCATGGTAATTATATTTAATTTGTGAGAAATGTACATCATAAAGTAATTAGGAATCACAGCTCAGACAATAAGTATTATCTCAAAGGATTTAGCAATGTAATTGTTGATGAACATACAATCTATTCAACATGAAATTCTGAGTGACTTTTGCAACTGAATCAACCACATTATACACATTATACAATATCAAAACAACTATTTAAAAAAAATATAAAAGAAAGTATCTCAATCATTTACAACATACAGCTCTTCCAAGTCAGCTTGGCCTTTCAAATACTTTGAGTTATCAGATATACCCTCTCAAATTTTTTCAATGTGTATTTTGTCTTTTGAGGGGTGCAGATCAACCTTAAAACCACCCATTATTCAAATTAAATGTAGTTTAGATGCACTATAAAAACAACTATTTAAAAAAGACATTATAAAAGAAAGTATCTCAAAACATTCATCACATACAGCTCATCCAGCCAGCTTGGCCATCATCATTTAGGCTGGGATCAGTGAACCAAGTATAGCATCTACATTCATCTAAATTTGAAACTACTAATATCACACATAAAAAAAGCAATGGAAAAAAGAGACCTCACTGAAAAAAATAGAAAATATATTACAAGAAATGGCGATTGGATGGGCTCAACGGAAAACAGAATATGCTATAAGCAAGTAAGTAATACAAACACTTCAATATTGATATATACACTAAACTTCCAAAATGACAACATTTTGAATTTAGAAATGCCTTAACTGTTAGTAGAAAAGGGTTAAAACCTGAAATTATCAGAAAATATACAAAAACACCCTGGATACAAATTTTTCCCATAATTAATGAATACTGCAAACTCATTGTATGCGAAAAGAAAGAAAAACCTTATGATTGGTAAAAGAAGAAAACATAATATAGGCCAAAATGTTAGAAATAAAAGTCCTGCTTGGGAAATATCTCAAATCGTTGGGTTTAAATTTTGAATAGGTACTTTAAAAACAAAAACAGCTAAAACTACAGAATAATGTGTCAATGAGATATAAAATCTAAAAAATCAGAAATGTTACAGGAAATGGGTTGTTAGGATTCAAAAATTATATTCAGTTTCATCCATCATCTTACAAATATTAAGAAATTAATAAAATAGTGCGATGTACTCAAGTATAACGATTCTTTCAAAAGAACAAGGGGATACTCATTCAAGATGTTTTTTTTTCTATATTAAAAACTGATGTAATCCAAAATTATGTCATATTTAAAAAAATACGCAAGGGAAATATTTTTTAAAATACATGGAATCTTTCTTTAAAGGTCATCCTTATAATAAGCTGTTAATTATCCATAAATATAAAAATTCGTTATTTAACTGTCAAGTGAGTTAATGTATTTTTATAAAAAAAATCGGGAAACTATTAGTAGCTAAAACATTTAAGGTCTTTTCATAAAAAATGTACAGATATTAAATACGGAATTTATCAATAATGATAAGAGGCACTTCAAAAAGCCGGTAAATAAGTAACCCATTAAAGACAAATCAATAGAACTCGATCTATTAAAACACCTACACAAAACGAAAATAAAATTAACAGCAAATGAAATAGTTACATTTTTTAAATGAACAATTTTTGTTAAAGCCTTGAAAAATTAATAAGTTGATATAACCGATCTTGATAAAAGGAATTACGTTATAAATTATTATTCAATACCACACCTAACTAAGAAAAAAGCGGTTACCGCATTCGGTAGTTAATAACAGACAACTGTTTGTCGTCTTAATATCATTTTATTTTAAATAAACAGAAATAATCATAAAACTCACCTTATCTTTAATGTGATGAACCATTTTGGGTTGTTTTTCTTTGGAACGTTAAAACACAAAATACGAGTACAACAAACGTGACCCTCTCAAGATGGAGATGACAACACAGAACTCAATCAAAGAGACCGTGATATTTATGAATGTCTCTAGTCGAGTGGCGATGCGATTACGATTTCACAATTCACAACAGAACAAAACTACTTGGCTTCGTCTAATACGAATGGAACGTCCTATTACTATCTCTTTTTATATTATAGCAAGTTTTATGAAAGGACAAATGTAGCGCATGGCACTAGCGTATTATCACTTATCAAGAAATCACATGGTTACAATCTTGTGTCCTTTTTCTATACGTTAGAGTTATCTATACCATTTATAGCGGTTCTCAGAACGTTGGTGATTTGCAAATATTTACCTCATTAGTCAAGCGTTATAAATATACGAGGGTCGTATTATATTTTACATCATTAATTTATACAAAGTTTTTGGAAAAACTGAAATTCCCATTAAATGATTCATAAGTGAATGAATAAACTTTTTAATTACATTACTAATGAAACGCCTTTATACAAAATAATAATAACAATAGAAATTGCCAACTAATACAACCGCCCACTACCATGACATTCATTTTTATGTAGATCAAATTCTAGTTCTTTTCTATGATGTTCGTAATGTTAAATCTGAAATATGAAAATCCTTGCGGTATAACGAAAAAGCTGAAGAAAGATGTATATACATAAATAATAAATAAAGGAGTAGGTGAGAGTGTTTGAGAAATTTCATGCCGTTTGGCTCAAAATGTTTAAAAATTGCTTTATAGCGACCATTAAAGCATACAGAAGTCTGTGATACATAAGTAGTTACAACCTTTATCTATAAATGACAAAGTATACCTAGGTCCATGGATTCGTTTCAGTTACCTTTAAAAAAAAATAATTTTTTTTGACAGGTCGTCCAAAGGTACGACACTGTGTTGTACCCATCGAGCAAAAAGACAAAAGAGGGAATCTAATCGTTATAAAAAAGAGACCAAAAAAGTGGCCTCTGATGGCGGACATATCCGGAAAGGCGAATGCGCCAAATTTAAATTTTCCGACACTTATTAACAGTAGCTATAAAATAGTTTTCAGAATGTGTCTTAGACGAGAAAGTTTTAATTAAATATTAACGATAACAGTCTAAAATGTGAAAGAATTGTTAAAAAACTTCAATATAAATAAGATTTCATGTGACAGTTGGGACAAACAATAACATAACCCAACCAAAATTTGATTTCTTAAACAAGGAAAGACTCTCTCTCCTTGTCTAATTTGACCTCTCAAGATGCCACTTCCTGTCTAACAATATTTTTATCCCCACTACTTTTAAATTCCCTCTTTTGTCTTTTGCTCGATGGTTGTACCTTTGTCCACATTATGTTGTACCTGTGATCAGAGAACAAATTAACTTCGATTAAGAATAAACAACACAAACGAACGGAATCTTATTTATTAGATGAATTATAAGATGACAAACATGATTATTTTACATTGTATGTATCAAATTTAACATTAAAGGACATCATATTTTGTTGGCGTTGTGATGTTCCTATTCCGGTTTTTAAAAGCTTAGTAAAGCTTACTACCCTAATAAATGCATCTTTTAGACTTAGATATGATCCCATTCTTTAAAAAATGCAGAGATCATAATAATACCCAAAGTAGGACAAGATAACTATGAATTACCACCATACAGGCCAATCTCCTTACTATCCATAACCTCAAAGGTGTTTGAAAAATTGCTACTATTAAGAATGAACCATATTCGCTCCGTGCGTAACTGCGTAACCATGGTAGGGGTACCTTTTACGCATAAATTTTAACAAAAATGGGTGCAAATATATGTTGAGTATTTAATTGTGCTAATAATTGTGAGCAAAATAAATAGTGAGTGTAGTTTTTATAGGTTTCCAAAGATTACATATAAATTAGAGAAAAGAAAAAGATGGATTGGTGCTATTAATATGAAAAAGTAAATATAACATAATTTAATTTTTATGCAATTGAAATAGGAAAAATTTAAATATTTTACCTTAAATGATATTCCATAAGCATCGTTCTTTCTTCTTGTAATGTCCTCACACTCAGCATCAAACCAGTCATTACGTGGTGGTGGTCTTCTGGCCCTAGAATATTATTTGCTGCCTCTTTAATATTATTTTTGCACATTTCCCATTGTTCACTAATTGTTAGGTCCTCATGAATTATGTGTTTAGTTTCGATATAGTTTTGAAAGAAGAACCCGAGAAAAACAACAAAAATATAAAGATCTCAGAAAAGAAGAGAAGTGCATTCATAGAAGGAAAAAGGGAACTCACGAAAATAGAATATTGGAAGAACTTGAGGTATTAAAAAAGGAAAACCAAACAAGAAAATTCTACAAAACTCTGAATAACGCAAGAAAGGAATTCAAACCAAGGCTCAGACTATGTAAGGATAAGGAGGGGCATATACTAAATACAAAAGAAGAAGTACTGAAAAGGTAGGTGGAACACTTTAAAGAAATTCTTACTATAGGAGTAGAAGATCCAGAGCTAAATCAACCATCCGCAGGAGCAAGGCAACAATTCACCATTAGAGCCTCCGTCAATTCAAGAAGTACGAGATGCAATAAAACACCTAAAAAACAATAAATCTCCAGGAAGTGATGGTATACCCGCGGAACTTATTAAATGTGGAGGTGCTTCTATGACTAATCAAATATATAAAATAATACTGAGAGCCTGGAATGAGGAACAAATCCCGGAAGAGTGGTGTATTGGAATCGTTTGCCCGCTACACAAAAAGGGTGACCAATTGGAATGTAGAAACTATAGGGGAATAACCCTCCTTAATACAGCATACAAAATATTTTCGAGGATCATATATGGTCGCCTAAGTACATATTCAGAGGAACTTCTCGGGGAATATCAAAGTGGCTTTAGATCTGGTCGATCAACAACAGATCAGATCTTTGTGCTAAGGCAAATACTGGAAAAAATTAATGAATTCAATATCGATACATACCATCTTTTTGTAGACTTCAAATCTGCCTATGATAGTGTCCTAAGAAATAAATTGTATGAAGCAATGAATGAATTCCATATCCCCGATAAACTGATAAGATTGGTTAAGGCTACAATGCGTAATGTGGTTTGCAAAGTCGAAATACAGGGCGAACAATCACAGGCGTTTGGAACGCATGTTGGGCTGCGACAAAGAGACGCGCTGGCGTGTCTCCTTTTCAAATAGCACTGGAAAAGGCGATCAGAGATGCTCAAATAGACAACAGAGGAAATATTTTTAATAAATCATCCCAAATTTTGGCATATGCAGATGATGTGGACCTAGTTGCCCGCACAACACGCAAGCTAGAAGAAATGTATACCACCTTCTCAAATGCCTCAAAATCTATGGGCCTGCAAGTAAATGAGGAGAAAACTAAGATAATGGCATCAACACCCAACAATAGAGCCAGGAACATCGGTCCCCAATTCACGGTTGATAACTCTAGAAACTTAAGCCAAAAAACAAAAATAACTATATACAAAACCCTTATACAGCCAGTGTTGACATATGAATCGGAGACATGGACCATCTCCAAGGCAGACGAAGACCTTTTGCTTATATTTGAATGAAGGATCCTGAGAGGAATATTTGGTGGCATCTGTGAAAATGGTGTTTGGAGGAGGAGATACAACTACGAGGTATACCACAGATAACATTTGGTGGTAAAGACGTAGTATCTCTTATAAGAATAGGAAGATTAAGATGGGCAGGACATCTAGCAAGATCACAACAGAACAACCCTCCTAGAAGAATCCTTATGTCACAACCCGTGGAAAGCAGAAAAAGGGGTAGGTCAAAACTCAGATGGAAGGATGGTGTAGATGAGGATAGTAGAAAGATAGGCGCAGCAAACTGGCAACGGTTGGCAATGGATAGGACTGCCTGGCGTAATAGACTTGGGAAGGTCGAGGCTCTTTCATAGGGCTGTAGCACCATTGATGATGATGATGATATTCCATAAGCTGCCTGATGACTTTAGCTTTTATATCATAACTTTTACTATTATTGTTTTTAACTACATGCTCTTCCATATGAAAATTCTGATTTACCAGTACTAGATTTTCCATTTCTTTTTCGTTTAGGGTTCTTCTTCTTCTTACTTTATAAATAAGCTTAATGCCTGTTTTACTTCGGTTTTTAGCTTTAATTGACGTTGTCTGACCATGGTTTGAGGTTGAAAAGGTAAATTATGATGAATTTTTAGAAACCCAGTTTTAAATACTACATTTATTTTGTACATACACTGAAAAAAATTAATTAAATAACTAATTATTAATAATTGTCAATTTCGTATGTATTATATATATATATATATATATATATATATATATATATATATATATATATATATATATATATATATATATATATTATACAGTATGCACTGCCTTCCCTTCTCCATCGTTTAAGCCTATCTTTCTCATGGCATCGTCTACTTCGTTCCTACAGGATCTTCGGGTCGTCCTCTTTTCCTTCTTCCTGTGGGGCTCCATTCGGTTAATTTCTTTATCCATCTGCTGTCGCTAGTTCTTCTTACATGTCCATACCACTTTAGTCTTTTTTGTTCTATATATGTTAGTATGTCTGTTTCTATTGAAGTTCTTTGCTTTATTTCGTCATTACTTCTCCTATCCATTCTTGTTACTCTGCAGCATGTTCGCGGCATTCCATCTCTGCTGCCACTATCTTACTGATGTTTTTCTTGTTTATAATCCAATTTTCAGCCCCATATTTCAAAATACTTCGCACTAATGTTTTATAAATCTGTGTTTTTGTCTTCATATTTAGGTGTCTATCCCACCATACTGAGTTAAGTTGTCAGATTGGTGTTCTTGTTTGTTCTAATCTTTGCGTAATTTTTTCCGCTGTTGAAGCTTTTTTCGTGATTATAAACCCCAAGTATTTGAATTTATCCTTTCCTTTGATTATTACGTT